TGAGGCTCGATCTGAGCGGCCTGAGCGCGCCAAGAAGACGACGCAGTCACAGGCTCCACCGCCGCCGCCGCCGCCGCCGCCAAAGCCTGCCCAGCCGCCGCCTGTCCGGGCGCCGCCGCCGCTGGGCAAGGACCAGAAACGGGACACCTTTGGCCAAAGGGTGCCGTCGCTGCAGCCGCAGGCGCCTCCGTCCGTGCCGCCGCTCGCCTACCCGGGGGCATACCCGGGGGCGGGGGCGGGGGCGAGGGCGAGGGTGGCGGCGGCGGCGGCGGCGCGGGGGGGTTCTCAGTCGGCCGCGGCGATGGCGCTGGTGGCGGCGTCGCCCCGCGGCCTGGGACCCTCTAGAGGCGGCACGCTTGGCGCTCGCTGCGGCACGGACGGCGATCAGCTATCTTAGTTCTCATCGCCACCGGATAACTATCCATGAGTTTAGGCACCCGCTCCGCCGCGGAGCTCCTCGCCGCCTTCAACGACGACGCCACGCCGGCAAGGCTCGGCTTCGGGCACTTGTAGTGAGCGTCGGGCTGGTGGTTCGACACCGAGTTTGAAAGATCTGTTTCCCTACGTCTCTCTTCACAGGAAAATCCTGTGAAAAAAAGCGGCTGACCTCGCAGCACCAGCAGCTTCAGCAGGATAGACCGCTCCAGTAGTTGTTTAGGCAGCCTTCAAGATCGGACCCGTCTCCAAGCGACTAGCGACTAGCGACAGGGGACGCGGCTTCACTCCACACACAGGGACTGGGCACAAGGGAACTCACGCTCCGCGTGAGAGACAGAGACACGGTTGAAAAGCGCGCCATACACCAGTCCACTCCACGCAAACCCCCCCCACACCAGCTCAGACCTCTGTTTAGCATTTGGCGGCCACACGGCGACACACGCACGGCACCGCCCCCGCAAGAGTACGCACTCTCGAATGCCGTGCAGGGCTCCTGTCACCGCTGACGTGATGTCCTCCCCCCCCCCCCCCCCCCTGCCTTACCCCACACCCGTGACATCTTGCCGCTTAGGCGGCGACGGCGTCGCCGCCTCCGCGCGACTCGACGGGGCTCGACATTATGTCGCCTCGAGGCACTGGCACGGCGGTGAGGCGTTGGCTGCCATACCCATAGCGTGGACAAGCACGTGCGCGCGACCCGACGCGGGGCGCAGAAGGATATGATTGGGCGATTGGGGTTAGCGGTTACCTCCCCTCCCCCAGGAGACGGACATAAACCGGTTCATAGACATTTGGGGGGGGGAGGGGGGAAGGGGGCTATAAACCCAAGTCAGGTTCGAACATATGCATGTCCCAACAAGCTCACAAGCCCATTGGACCTTGGAACCAAGATGTAACAATTGGATTCCGACAGCGACACAGATCACAGATCACACGCCAAGGGCCCTTCGCAACTCAATGACCGACAGACCCAGCTCGCCGCCGCCCGCCTCGTGGAAGGCCTGCTCGACAGCGGCCGCCTGACAGAGCATGGCCAGGGAAGGTGGCCAGGGACGGTGAGTCCGAGTTCGGTGCTAGCCAGTGACAGCGGACTAGCTGCGTCAGCGCCTCCGCGAGGCCGGCTCGGGCAAAGATGTTGACGAGGGCTGGGAGGGGCAGCGGCGTCGCGAAGTCGGCTGGTTCGACGCCAAGCTCCGAGTAGGAGGGCGGGTTGAGCACTGCCCGCGCTCCCGGCTCATCGCCATAATTTTGGTAGTCTGCTACGCCGCGTACATGCGGCATCGGCTTGTCGGTGCGCACCATGGGCAAGCCTGCAGTGGGGACGTGTGACTTCTCTTCTCAGACAGAGGCGAGGCGAGGCGAGGCGAGGCGAGGGATGAGTTGGGACTCTAACGCACCAAAGGAGCGCTCCGGATCGTCCGAGACGTTCCGCCATCCGGGGCGGATCGAGCGGCCGAGGTCTGCGTCGGGCGCCTGCTGCTCGGCGGTGTAGTTTCCCATGCACTCGCGGGTTCCCCACTGCGGCTCCGTGCTCGACGACTTGCCAAAGACCTATCAGCACCTGGCGGTGAAGGGACCCGACTCAGCTGCGCTCCTCGCCTCAGCAGGCCAGGCCTCGATGCTCGACGCGGTGTTGTCGTGGCCAAGCGCACGCGGCTTGCCGAGCGCGTGCCGCCTCTGCTCAATGTAGGCCCGCATCTGAGGGTTGGAGGCTCCACCCTCCGTCGAGCCGTAGCCCTCCCCCGAGAGCGCCTTGCCCACTTGATTCAACTCCGGTTTTTCCGACTGGCCGCCCCAGCCATACTCCCACGGGTTTTCGATGGCTCCTTCGCGGGTCTTCCAGCTGTAGTTGCGCCGTATCTGCTCGCCCGGCGCGTAGCTACCGTGCGACTTGACGTACGCCGCGTGTTGAGCTGGAGTGCGCTCGTCCGGGAGCGCAAACAGCTCCTTGGTTTGGGAGACGGTTGCCTTCACCTATGGGAGGGGAAGGGCAGTCTCTGGCACGCGTGCCACAGGGACTCGGCCGCGGGGAAGGCTCGTGGAGGTCACCTCGCCAGGTTTCCCAAAGCCAGTCTCCAAGAGTTGCGGCGGGATGGCGTGCCCGCGAACGTACGACGCGCCCAGAGGCTCGCGCTGCCGCGACAGGTAGGTCGCCTCGCGCCGCTCCTCCGCCCGCTCGAGCAGCTCAGACTTTGGTGCGACATCCATCACTCCGGCGACCGAGTCCCTGCGGAAAGCATTGCGCTCAGCGAGGCAGGTGATACGAGCGGCGGTGGCTGACATGCGCGGGGGTACCACCGTGCTGTGGATTGACGGCAGATCAGTGGGATGTTAGGGACGGCGGCGAGAGAGGGGACCGATGGGTAGGCGGCGCCTGGGGTCACGAGCCGCGGCCCTTCCAAACGTCCTTAGCTCATGCGAAGAGTCCGACGTGCTCGGGGTAGCTCCCGGGTCTTCCGACAACGAAGAAGCGCCTGGCGCGTCGCCAACGGCCGGGATGTGCGCCATGTATGAGCGGCCGCGGTGTAGGAACGCGTGTTTGTCCGAAACAGTAACGGTCGCTTTATAAAGAACTCTTTTCCGCGGACACACACATGAGTGGTGGCGGCGTGCTGTCCTCCCATAACTGCGGAATTCTTTTCTTTCTTGTTACATGACGCATCGCATCGCTTTCGGGCATCCCGCCGTCTCCGCGCGCCCCTTGCCAGTCCAGGAAAAAGAAAAAAATGTATCGGGCCGCCGACTTTGGCCTAACCTAGGAGATAAGCTGCACGCCCTTCTGGCGGCCCTCCTGAGATGCTGTCGCTCGCCCTCTCGACGCTGGCCGCTCCGTCGCGGGCCGCCGCCGCTCCCGAGGAGAAGCTCATCGTGCCAATCACAGTCGCTCTGGCCGCCGCCTCCTATTTACCAGAGAGTGAACAGCAGGACATCCTGGCTGCAGTCGATCCATCGCAGTCCATCGTCAGTCGCCGCCCTCGCATACAACCCGGTCGTCGAGTACTCAGGCGATGGACAGAACAGATATGCGTTGCGCTGTCCGCGTGTGTGAGAGAGCCCCAAAAAGTTGCCATAGGTCAAGGCGGATCGGTCATGGCTGCTGTCTCAACTGCGCATGCTCTGGCAGCTGAGCTCCATAGGTGTGTGTGTGTGTGTGTGTGTGTGTGTGTGTGTGTGTGTGTGTGTGTGTGTGTGTGTGTGTGTGTGTGTGTGTGTGTGTGTGTGTGTGTGTGTGTGTGTGTGTGTGTGTGTGTGTGTGTGTGTGTGTGTGTGTGTGTGTGTGTGTGTGTGTGTGTGTCAGTGCGCAGCTCCACAGATGTAGTGACACGCCAGTGCATGACGTCGTCAGCTCCCCCTCAGCTTTGAGCGCGCCCCTTTGCTCTGCCGCGTGCCAGGAACGGATTCGTCAAGCCCGGCCTGCCGTTTGAGCACTGGGCGGAGGGCGCGCCACGACTGTGAGCAACCTCCCGCGGGCGACGCGCTTGTGCTCATCATCTGCCCTGACCCTGCGTGCAGGCGTTGCAGCAGGATACGCCACCGCATCCGATGTTATAGCTGCCAGTGGATCTCCGTCGCCGTCGACACCGCTGAGCCCTTTGGCGCTGCCACCTACGCCGCCCACCACCATCAGACCGCATGCACCAGCTGCTGGGACTGCGCAAGTCATTGGTCGCACGAATCGCGAGATGACAATCGCGAGCCGCTGGGCCGAGCTCGGCATCCTCGCGCTTATTCTCGTCGGGGCCATCTCCTATGCAACCTCCTGCCGAGTGCCTCTGGCTCTGCTCGCCCGCGGCAGGCCTGGCTTGCGAAAGTGTGCCGCGCATCGCAGGCGAGAGCCGGACCCATTCGCTACGTATGTCTAGGAGTGTGTGTATTCTATCATCAAGCTATATCATTATTTTCCATCCCTTGGCGCGCTGTCAGAGGGGACATTTGCCCCCCACCCCCCCCCCAGACCGACAAGCCCCACAGGCACTGATTGTTTGCCCTTCCTAGTTCGACTCTCTAGCCGACGGGACCAAACCGAGCTCCATGCGAGCTCTCAGTATGTCGTTCTCCGAGAGGACCGTCCTGTCCGGTGAGTAGAAGGGCAACATGATGTCCCCCGGATGCTCAGAGTGAGACAGGCCGATGCAGTGCCCAATCTCGTGCAGCGCGACGTTGAGGATCTGGTAGTGGACCTCGTCCCACCCTCTCGTCACCTTCCGCTCCGAGTGCGCGTCGGAGGTATCCCAGAGCTCGTCCGGATCGAAGACGATGCTATCCGCGGTGGCATGCGCCAGCTGGCCACCGGGCCCATCGAACGCCCCCGGGTCGGACTTCGACTTTCTGTCGAAGCTGACGGTGATCGTGTCGTGGTTCAGGCGCAGGGCTTGTGACGGGCCGGGCGGGGGGCGCGAGGCCGCCTCGGGCTCGACGTACTCGAATCTGACTTCCGTGGCCTCGCCCCATAGGGCAAAGGCCTTCCTCAGGTCCGCCAGGAGCGCCGGCTTCCGGAGGCGCGACGGAACGGTGCTAGCCACGAGAGTCCACTTGGTGACCTCGCCGGGCTTCACCGATGCCAGGCGGGTGCCGGGCTCCTCAGAGTGGTCATTTGAGAGGATGAGCCCGTACAACATGACGTCGCGCGTCGCGGAGTCTAGGAGTCCGTCGACCTCAAGGCCAGCGGCCTCCTGAAAGCGCTTGACCGCGGCGACCGTTTGGTCGTCGTACACCCCACTCGGCTCGCCCGAGAGGAAGCACCCCGCAATCAGCACCTGCTGCAGTGAGGTGATGTAGCCGTCGTCGGCGTGCAGGTTGCTCTCCGCGATGCCGACCGTCGTGAGGCGCGGACCGTTGAGCTGCGGCGGCGGGAGCGTCGTCTGCTCGATCGGAGAGACAGTCCCGTCGGCGGACTCGACGAGCACGTGGATGTCCGCGTTGCGAGGCATGATGTTGTTTCGGCGCAGGGCCGGCGTGACGTCGACGTAAACGTCAAACGTCTTGTTCACTCGGCAGTTCTCGCAGCCGGCGGGCGAGTTGAGGAAAAAGACGCCGGCGCTCCCTGCGAACGAGTCAGGAGTCACGAGGTCGTCCCGCGAGTCGCTCGGTGGTCGCTCCCACGCCGACCCCTTCGCAGCAACGTACACGTGGAGGAGGCACGGCTGGCCGACGGCAAGCACGTTCACATCCCAGAAGGTTGCGAGCCACGGCGGCTCGCGCATCTGTGGAGGAGGCACCGGAAGTAACGCGTCGTATAGGAAACCAAAAGGCTCTGTATTCGTGAAGCAGTCAGCAGCGTTGAAGGCCTCGCCTGTGAGGTGGTTGACGAAGGGCTTGAAGGGCCCGGCGGGGCCATTGGGATAGCCCTTTGCCCCTCCGGGGTCGAACTTTGCCTGTGCCTGTTGGAAGTCAACCCAACTGTCGGGGTTCAATTGCAGGTAGGTCTCAAACAGCCGGTCCACGTTGCAGTGGTGCATCCAAAACACCGGGTGAAAGGCTGACTGAAAGGTGCCCATGATTCCGCCGACGTACCCGTGGATCGTGTTGTGCGGCGCTTCGACCGAGGGGTACCGCGCAGTCTGTGACGCGGTGCACGCAAAGTTGAGGAATTGCGACGAGCGGAGACTCAAGAAGGCAAGTTCATCGAGGCCAGATGCCTCGAATGCAGCTTTGAGCGACGCGTCAGACGGTAGCGTGGCCAGCGGCGCAAAGGCAGGGCTTGGCTTTATCGGGAAGAAGCTGCTCGGAAAATCGACGGTCAGCTCGTCGCGGATGATCCTTGGAAAGACCTCGCCGTTCACCTCGTAGCGCGTCCAGTCCCAGTATGGTAGGCCAATGTTGCCATCGCCTCCGAGCGCCAAGTCGGCTCGCCTCAGCATTCGCTCGAATTCGAGCACGTAAGGGCGGTGCCAAGGCGCAAAACAGGTACGCCGGTGCGCGCAATACTCGGGGTATTTCTTGGTGGAGAGCGGAGGCATTCCTCCATGAATCACAGCCATCTTGAAATACGGAGATGTACCGCTCCCACCGATGTTTTCGCGCATCTTCAGGAAGGCGCGCGCGATGCGCTCCTGCTCCTCGCGTGGCATGGACCGGATCTCCTTTCGCACCACCACGCCAGGCGGCAGCTCCGCCTTGGACCAGTCTGGCCCCGAAGGGCCTCCGCAGCCGCAGAGGCCCATCTCCAATGTGCCGATCTTCCGCGCTAAATTTGGCCAAACGTGTCCCGTCCGCTCCCTTCCTGCGACCAAGGGTCCCCAGCTCCACAACGCACTGTCGAGTGAACGCCGTGCAGGCAGCCCGTGCCGTTTGGTGTATCCCGTTTGTACCGCGTCCTGTGCCCCCGAGTTCATTTTGAGAAGCACTGAGCACTGGGATAGGGTCGATTCCGCATGGTACGGGACCCCTCGATCGTCTCGCCCTCCCTCGCTGGTGTGTGTTCATTGGGGGGGGGGGGGGGGCGTTCCGTATGACTCCTGTCGCTTTCACTTGCCATAAGTTTCTTGAGTTCTCAGTCTTCTCTTTCTGCCCACTCCGTGCGTTCGTCTTCTTGATTCTCCCTCATCTCGGATGAGTTCCCCGCAGGACCTGGAGTCGAGGTGACATTTATCTCCTCCTTG